TTTTTCCTATTAACTTCACAAGAAAAAGTAGAACCATTATTATAAGGAGTTGAGGTGGGATAATGAAGATGAAAAGTAGAATTACCAACACTGAAACTTCGAAAATTCCAAGATGTCAAGTTTCTCTAATCAACAAGTAAAATTAAAAAAAGAAACAAGAAAAAAAATATAAAAAAATTCAAAACCAAGCAATATTTACAACTATAACTACACTGTTAATTCCTCGACGAAGGCGCCAAAATTTGATCACGCCCAATTATGCCTTATAAAAAGGACTAAGCGGTCACTGCAAATATAGTTCGGTCTAAGAGTCTAGAGTCGAATCCCACAGAGAACTAAAGTTTAGCTACAACAGTTTACTAATACTAAGAAGACAAGCTCAAACAATTTCTAAGTTATAAATATTAAGATTATGTTTTCCAACTAATTAAAGTAGTGAATTAATAAATAGGGATAATAACGGTTGGAGAAAAAATTAAGGAGATCTAGAGTTATATTTTTTCAATTGTTAAAATCCTTCTCGGCACGTCTTCTATAATTTTGCCTAAGTATTCTCTACTTGTCATGAGTACTTTGGGTATCGTAGCTCTCTCTTGAGCAACTACCACAATTTACTAAACATATTCTTTCAAACTATGCTAGTTTGCACTAATTCACCGCTCACTACGATCGCACCAAGGTTTCGCTATCTCTAATCCCGCCTTTAAACCTTCTGTATTGATCTCTCACATATGTTAGGAGTGGTGTTGTTCAACAACTACCTAAATATGTATCCACTCTCAAGCAATACACACTAAATAGCACAGTCAATTCATGGCCATTCAATCAACAATAATAAACACGTAGTTGAACAAGCAGAGAAATTCAAAGGCTAAATTATATTAAACGTAATTAAAAGTCATCCTCCAAGAGGTACCATCAAACCATATATGAGAAATTAGATATTCTTAGTCATGCTAACAATCATGATAGTAATTGAAAGCATTAAGATACTGATTAAGGAAGAATGGAAGAGAAAACTCTTAAGATTCGTTACTTCCAAGTTCCAAGTGTTCTCATAGCCTTTTGCCTCTCTAATATTGTCTCCCCAATAATGTCTAACTACTCAGAAATTGGTTTAGAACCCCTTTCATACATGTTGGGGCGTGTAGGGTCGAAACTACTGATAAGTGGGGATTTTAACCTATTATTTGCTCTTTCTCACTTGTGTTTTGGGCCTAAAATGCGTGAAGGTATTTCCGAAAACTAATGTAATATGTTTGTTTGCAGGGATTGTTCATAATGAGCCAAAGTAGCCATGATCAACTCATAAAGGAGTCAAAACTTGAATAAAGATCAAGACTAGGCCAGGAGCTATGGAACGCGGACCGCGACAGAAAAGTGCGGTCGCAAAAGTGTCAACGCGGACACGGTTATTAATTCACGGATCGCGAAAAGGAGAATCAGAGAGGTGGTTTTTGGGCACAGACATGGATGTGGACCGCGTCAGAAATTGGCAGCCGCAAAAATACCACAGTGGCCACGATTGGAATTTCGCGGACCGCTTTTGCTAAGGTTCAGAGAGCTTACTAAAAATCAAAATTATTAAGAGCGGACCGCATCAAAATTATGCAGCCACGGAAGGCTCTCACGTGGACGCGGTGACTATTATGTGGCCCGTGAAACAAGGTTCAACCCAGTCCCAGATGTAAAGAAACGTGGACCGCGCTCAATATTATGCGGGCGCGGTCAGAATTACGCGGCCGCGAAACCTTCGCAGAGGCATTTTTGTCCGGAAATTTAAGCCTAGTATAAATAGATCTTTTTCACATTTTTAGGTGAAGTTTTGTTTTTGTTGAGTGCGTGAGACGGCTGGAAATACCAGTTTGGGCAATTTTGTATTAGATTCAACTTTTAACATTAACTTTTCATCTTTTAATCTAATATTATGGATTTTATCTTTATTTCATCTTTGATTTCTGCTATTTCCATGAGTAGCTAAACCCATAGCTAGGGTTGTGACACAACCCTAGTGTGGGTATTTGATGGGTCTTGAATTTTAGGGCTTGAATGTGTACGGGTTAGTGATATTTAGCCTAGTTCTTGCTAGAACTATTGAATTAGTGGTTGCAAACGCTGATTTATGCCTTTATGACTTAGTCTCTACTTGAGAAAGAGGGACTAAGTCTAGGAAAACTAGGCTAACAAGAAATTAGGGTGAACTCAAGAAAATAATAGCCCTAATTAAATGGTTAAACCTAGAGATAGTAATACCTGACTTGAGCTAAAATTATTTGAATTGCATGAATACTCATTTGGACTTGAGAAAGCCAAATTGGGAAAAATCACTCAAACTACCGAGAGGTATAGAGTGAGTACCCGAGTGTGGTAGCTATATTATGACCTCAATTAATCATATGATTGCCCTAGATTCTTACTACATGTTAGATACCCACCTAGGCGGAAGTCACTACCTTAGTTCTTTTAAATCATTGAAAACAACCAACAAAAACATTGTACTTAGTTTCAAATACTGCATGCTATAGACTAGAAGTAGAAGTAGAAAACAAATCAACCATTTATAGAAGTGCAATTAAGGGCAAAATCCGCATCTCTACTTGGATATAAACCTAACTCCAAACAAATTGACTCCCTGTGAATTCAATCACAACCTTTGTTGGGTAAAACTGCATCGATCATCCTTGCTACTCAATAGTAGTGTAGGCTTAGACCCCATCAACTACCAAGTCGTAGCCGAATTAGGACGAAATCCGTTCTTGGGCGTCTCACTTGGCGCTTGGCGTCAACATGGACATCAAACGTTTTCCAATTTTGTGCTCTGCTACCCTTGGCGTTTTGGTTGGTGTCTGGCGCTAATCTGGGCACCAAAGTCACACTCCCTCCAAATTCTTGTTATTACTTCAATTTGCATGCAAAGCTATCCAAATCACTTCCAATTGACTCATACATAACTAAACATCGTTATTAAGCTCAAGGCATAATATTCATACCAAAGTTAACAAGATCGGGGCATAATGCAAGGCAAATTACATGCAAAAATATGAATTTTTAGCCTAACATCAGGACCCATTTGTCAAAGGAAAGGGAAGGTCCTACTTCCAGGATGGAGTCGTATGATGCGAGAGCATCACGTACAGTTCCTTTGAGAAGGTGAGATACCACCACCTATCAGGCCAATGAGAAATTCATGGAGCTGCATCCTTACTCACCTAGTCTATGCATATCGCTCTTACTCTTTAGAGAGAGAGAAAAGAAAGACTACAAAAAGGAAAACTACAAAAAATTTAAAAAAAAAATTATGGGATCAAAATATAAATGGCGATCTTAAATATTTTGCAATAAGCGCAATTTAACCTATATTTCGTGAACATGCAACAAAAAAAAAAAACGAACGAAAAATGAAGAAACTGGGGATTCAGCCTTTTTTAAAAGGTGAGTCATGGGTGTACATACTTTTTAACATGGCTATTACCGGTAAATTTTAAAAAGGTGGCTTGTGGGATGTTATTTTCCTTTTGCAATAGCCTTGGAGGAAAAAATATGAAATATAAATACAATTACTGTTTAATATAAATTTCTGAATCAAAGGCCGAATTGGTTGTATCCTATCCAGCCCAATGCTAATCCTCACGAGTTGACGTGTTGGGCTAAATTCCACTATCCAATTGGGTTGACCAACGAGCCTATCGGCATGTAAAAATAGCACCGGTTAGCTAATTTTCGAACTGAAAATTAAAAAATTGTCATCATTTGTAAAATCATTAAAAATAGTCATTATTTTGCTGCAACATAGAAAATTCCATCATAATATACTGGAGATTGGTGCACCTGTGTATGAACTTCCAGCGTATTATGTTGGAACTCCAACACGCGAAAAGTTCCAGCATAATATACTGGATATTGGAGCACATGTGTATGAACTTCCAGCATATTATGCTGGACCGGTATATTATACTGGAGCTCCAGTATTCGTGCCCGGGTTCACTCGTGAAAGGAAGGTTCTAGCGGTAAAGTAAAGAAAATCCTCCCTTCTTGCTTCCTTAGGGTATGCCCCCTATCGCCTTTCATTCGGAAAAGGAATTATCTGCACTGGCTTCAGTTAGCCGTGAAGTACGCCGATACCCCGGTTGTCTATAAATCGTCACAATAAAGTGTGATAACCTTAAATTCTCTCTGTACTTTGTTTCAAATAAGCGCCTTGAAGCTAGTTACTTGAAAGTCATGATAGATTCCACTCTCAGTTAGTACGTACCTTTTTTTTAAGCAAGAACTCTTAATCGTTCGTATCCCATACCCACGGGCTACTTCACCGAGACGAAGGTCGGAGTTTACAAGCTGCTTTGATAGAAGCAGGTTAAGAAAGATAGCTGAAAGTGCTAGCATAAGGAAGAGATTCTATGGATGGAAAGAGGCCCTTCCTTGCTTTCAAGGTTTCGACAATACTTATGCTGGAATTCCAGTATATTATGTTGGAGTATTTTTCGGATTTTTAACAGTATTTTCGTTCAGATTTATCTTTACATGAAAAGTGGCTGAAATTCGATTACTTTTGAAATTGTGGCTATTTTTCAATTACCACTTGTAAATCTAGCTATTTTTGAATTTCTCCTTATCAACATTTTACATTGTTTTCTCTCTTCTTTTTAAGGAAAATTTACGCGACCCATCAAATATTTACACTGTATTTATCATTTGTAGCTATACTTTCAGCAAATTTACCACTCATAGCTATATTTGAATTTTATAGCAAATCTACGAAACAAGATATTAATTGCTTTGAACAGAAATAAAAGAGTAACAAGCTCTCGTAGCTCAGTTGGTTAGAGCAGAGGCGGACCCAGGATTTGAGTATAACGGGGGCACCATTGTCATTAGAGTGAATTACCCAAAGCCAATAAAAAAATACATATAAACTCTATGATAGACTAGTAAATAAGCAGCACAATCCACTATATAATATAAACTTGCTAAGCAAAAAACTAAAATAAAGTAAAAAGAGCTTACGCTTTGATTTCATCATACTCCATAATTGACCCGTGAACACAAACTTCGATTTCATCAGACTCCCTAATTGATCTGCGAATTTTTTTCAAAGTAACAAACTAAACAATCATTTAAAAATGCATCACCAGTACAACTATGCAATTCATCATTGATGTACTTCATGGATGAGAATGCTCTTTCTACCGTTGCAGTCGCGATAAGTAAAATTAGAGTCAACTTCACAAGTGAATATGTCTCCACAAGATTTGCCTCAACCAACGCTTTTGCCAAGTCACTAATTCCTTTCAAATCTGATAATCTAGGGTCACCATGTTGCATGTGCAATATGAAAGTGTCAAGTTGGTGACTAAGATCTCGAAGCTTCAATTCGCCAAACTCATCTGGATAATACTTGGCCAAGGTCATTATTCTTTCTTTGTCAAAATTAGCAAACGAGTTAGCCGGATTCAAGCTAGCCATACCAAGAAGCAAGTTACCACTAACAACATCAAAACGACGGTTAAGCTCCTTAACTTGCAAATCGATCACTGTATAAAAATGCTCAACACGTAAGTGATGTGAATAAGTAACACTAGAAGGCCTACGCTTCGACTTTCCAGGAATATAGAATTCTTTCATATTAGGCACCAAAATGTCATGTTTAGTACAAAACAAATATACTTCATCCATTAATGGTTTCCATCCTTCATATCTCATTTGTTGCAACCTTTCCTTTGTAAGGTTAAGAAATATCATGGCATTGACAATATCTTGCTCTTTGTTCTGTAAAGCTTTACTCAGCTCGTTCGACATCAACAATACCTTCAACATCAAGTGAAGCAAGAACACAAATTCAAATGAATTGATTTTACTCAAAAAAGCTTATGCTTGCAATCTATCATTAGCCTCTTGACCTTCATATTCAATCACCCCAAGCACATGAACAGTAGATGCAAATAAAACAACAAAGTTATCTAATGTTTTACAATGTGATCCCCAACGAGTGTCACTTGGCCTTTGAAGCCCTCGCTCTTGATTTAATCCTTTCCCACTTTGAACTTCACCAGTCTCTAGCAATTACTCCAATAATTCGGCATGATGATCCCGAAGTTGATATCTACGTTTAAAGGATGCTCCAATCACATTCAACACATTAGCAACTATAGAAAAGGAAGTCTCCACCTCCTTATGTTTTTTAGCAACCGCTACAAGCGTCAACTGTAATTGATGAGCGAAACAATGAATGCAATGTGCCGAAGGAGTTTCTTGCAAAATTAAAGCTTTAAGACCATTCATTTTTTCTTGCATATTACTAGCTCCATCATAGCCTTGTCCACGTATTTTGGATGGACTTAGTGAGTGTTTCATAAGCAAAGAAAGTATTGCTTCCTTCAACAACTTTGCGGAGGTATCATGAACACGAACAAGACCAATAAATGGCTCGTTCACTTGACCTTTTTTGTAAACATACCGCAAAGCAAGGGCCATTTATTCATGGTGTGAAAAATCCTTGGACTCATTAACTAATATCCCGGAATAATCCCCATCCAAATTATTGATTATAGCTTTCATAGTTTCTTGTGCACAAGCACTCACAATGTCCTTTTGAATTTTTGGCGAAGTCATCATATCATTTTTTGGAGCATGTTTCAATATGACTCTATCTACTTCAGGGAGCCTCTTTGCAAGCCATTCCAAAAGCCCTAGAAAAAGGCCTTTGTTTTTTGAAAAATCACTTTCATCATGACCTCGAAAAGACAATCCAAAATACAAGAGAAACCTTACAACATCGATTGATGCATTTAAACGAATTCGGTGCTCATTTCTTTGTTTCTCAGATTGCTTATCAAAAGCAACTTGAATTGATTGGGATTGATTTGATAAGTCTAGCATCTTGTTGAAACACTTGTGGTGGAAGCTATTTACTTTACCAACATGTAAATCAAGTCTTTCCGAAGCTTTATTCCAAGCCTTAAAGCCCGTTTTTGTGAAAGAGTCACTCGTGCTTCCATAAACATAATCATTTTTGAATAAATAACAACATAAACAAAATGCGGCATCTTTCTTCACACTATACTCCAACCATCTAGAATAGGAACCTTTAAACCAACCCGAACTAAATTGACGCATTTTATTCCCGAATAAAGTTTTAGGAAATTTATGATCAACCGGTTGGCAAGATCCATTTTGAATGTAGTGTCTTCTTACGTCATCCCGTATTCTAAGATTATATTTATCAATGGGTACTCTCTCTCCAGGGTCGGGATTGAGTAATTTCTCATCAAACTCATCTATAAGATGAGAGGAATTGTTTCTAAGACTAGAACTTGGTTGAGAAAAATTAAACTTCGTCAAAAATACGTCCATCTCAATTCACAAGAACAAGAACTTCCTACAAAAAATGAGTTCAATAAATTTAATAGTCTATCAAGAACAAAAATTCATCAAATGCAAAAAGGGTCAAAGCAGAAACCACAGCAAAGCAAAAGTTTCAAGCAGGAACCATAGTAAAGCAAAGTAGAAACCCAATATACAGAGATTTCATCCATAAGTAATTGGATGTTAGCTGAGCTATGTATCATATGAAAGTGATTAATTTATTGAAAAGTTAGCAAAAATAAAATGGCTGCGATCCTGGCTTTTAAAGGCCCGTAATCATCAACAAGGCTAATTACAATCAGCGAAGTTAATAGATGTACGTATTCATCACTTTATAATTAGAATGCAGGTGTATTTTTATTTATTTATTTATAACATTAGAGAAAATTTGATTTAATTATCAGTGGCAAACCAAAATTTTGTGGATTCTTGAACCAAAAATTTTAAACCTAAATAAAATCATATAAAATCCATCCCCAATTCTCCATGCTCTTACAATTTATAAATAAAAATTAAGTTTCAAAGTAAGAGAAGCACTAACCAGAGATTCGATGCCCGCTACTTTTTCAAAGTAATGAGAGGAATTGAGATTGAGGAAGAATGGTTCTCTATTTTGGAGTGAGGAGTGATGGCTGAGGAGTGAAGACTGAGTTTGAAGGAGGGGAGCTTCTAAGTTTGACGGAGGGGACTGGCCGACTGGGGAGCTTCTGCGTTTGATCGAGGAAGAACTAAGAAAGGTTTAGGGATTTAATATTTTGGGGCTTTTGGGTAGGATTTTGTAGAAGAACTAAATAATAAAATTGACTATTATCTATAACTATTAAAATATAAAAAATTGAGAAAAAGTAAAATAAAAAATTATAAATTAGTCAATTGTTGACTAGTGACTAATAAATAGTACTATTGTACTAATATATAACTGACCAGGTGAACCATTGCTCCAAGCAGCATTTTGATTATAAGGGGGCCAAGAAAAATATTTAAGGGGTCCCTAAAATATATACAGCTACTCATACAATATATATATACAGAGTTTTTGCCGAGGTTAACGGGTTCACGTGACCCTCAAGGCCTAGTGTAGGTCCACCTCTAGGTTAGAGGGCGTGCTTAGTTAGTGAAAGTCTTAATTTCGACTCTTGACAATGCATTTTATTCAGTACTTTTTTGTATTTGATATCCATTTAAGGAGAATAACTTCGGTATTAGTCTTTTACGGTGTAATTTTTTTTCTCATTGTAATTGTAAAGTGTTTCATGTTAGATCAGGATCGGTTTTTTGTTACAATGTACTTCTATCTCATTATTATCCTAAAAAAATCTGTTCGAGAAATTAATAAGTACAGTCAAATCTTTCTATAACAGCCTCGTTTGTTCCGAATATTTTTGGATGTTATAGCGAAGTGTTGTTATAAAGAACATATATTATAACATAACATAAAAATTGATTCCGAAAAAGCTTGGCTTTAATAGTAAAGCGTTGTTATATAAGCATTATATTATAGAGAGGTTTGACGGTATATTTTTTTCGAATTTCTTAGGATAAGAACAAATTAACTGATGCACAATTTCAACACCATATGATGCCACTGATTGAATATTTTTCTTCTTCTTCTATATATATATATATATAAGACAGCCCCTAGTAAATTGAGGGGGGGGGGGGGGGGGGAAGACGGAGAACAAGTGGAAAAGTATGCCCTTTTTGAATTAGGTTTAGCCATTTGAAATGGATCAGGTCTTAAAAAAAAACAGGTTGACTTTTGATTCGAGTTTTGGTGCAATCTATATTTTGATGTATCTGGAGGATAAGGTACTCCCATATTATGTAGCTAATAATATATATATAAACAGGGTCAACTGTGATTATGAGTTCTTAATTATGCCAAATGTACCTGAAACAAAAAGATAAAGTGAACAGATCCAATGTGTCATTTTTTTATTTGGTTAATGAGTGGGGTAAACAAATCTGAAGTTCGGTTTTTGCTGGTTTTCATTTTTGTAAGTATGATTTTAATTATTATGTTTATTTTTTTCCTTGCCTTTTTTATCTGCTGGTACAACTTAAAATTTTGATATTTGTTGATCTATCACTCTCTCAAATTTGTTTCAAGTTGACTTCTTTCCGGCCCAGAGTTTCCAAAATCCCCTATTATTTGTCCTGTAATTAATTTATAATACTGAATGGTTCTTTGCTAGCTAGTAGCCACAGGAAATAAAAATTAAACTAAAGTTGGGTAGTTCAAATGTAACAAACACACAGTATGACAAGTTGACAACCAGGACTAATTAATAAATTGATCATAGCTTATTTTGAGTTGAAAAAGTAACCAAGTTGAATGTTATTTTTCTTTATAGCAAATATTAATGAGATGATATTGCAATAGCTGTGACGACAATGACAGTTGTTAGGTAATCTTGCACACATCCAATTCTATATTATTATGTAGTGAAAAAGAAATGTAGAAGTTAATATCTGTGAAGATGATGGTTATTTTGAAAGAATATTTTCTTAAAAAAAATAATAAGAAGCACCAGCAGGGAATCTATATTATATTAAAAGGAGAGTATGCACATTTTCATCTTGAATAATTAATTCAATTAAATTAGAATTTTCTGGTTTCTCG